AAAACTTATATTCCAAATCAATTCTTTACTTTGAAGTAGTTGCTGTAAAACTATTCCAACGATACTGACATGGATTATAGTAAATGATTCTGAAATCTGCAAGCAAACTTCATTGGAGTCAGGTGTTTCTAACCTAAAATAGCATCATCCAGTTTGATGGCCCAACTTATTTAACAAACCTGACTCTTAATATAATTTTTAACTACATCTACAGAAAGGACAAAACCTGGTTACAGCTGAAGTTATTAAGAAAAAAAATAGTTGAACGTTGTTTATAACATCAAAATATTGAAATGGGCCAAATTCTTATCAATAGTGAACTGGTTAAATAAAGTATGGTACATCCATACAATCAATGCAGCTGTAAAAAGTAATGGGTAAGCTCTTTGCACACTTATACACAATAATCTCTAAGATAAATTAAAAAGCAAACCACACAATATATAAAATATGCCATGTCCTGGTTAAAAAAAAGAGGGGGGGGATAAAAACGTTTATTTGGTTACCTATGGGGATGAATGGGAACGGAGCAGATGGGAAACAAGAATGGAATGGAAACTTTAATGTACATATTACATATTTTCTTTTTTTGAACCATGTGCATGTATTACCTATTTTAAAAAGCGAGGTTAAAGAGCTGGCTGGTTAGGTCTGTTGGTTAGAGTGCAGCCTTATAACACTAAGGTCATGGGTTTGGATCCCTTTACTGGCCAGCCATCAAAAAGTAAAAATAAAAGAAAAAAGCTAGGTTTAAACATACTTCAGGTTCTGAAGACAACTGCTATGTTTGTGCTTGTCTGCTCCAAAGCTCATGTGGAAGCTTGATCCCCAATGAGAGGTGGGGCCTGTAGGAGGTGATTGGATCATAAGGACCCTGCCCTTATAAATGGATTACTCCATTAATGGGTTAACAGATTAATGGGTTATCATGGGTGCGGACTGGTGACTTGCTCAGCCCTTGCCATGTGATACCCTGCATCACCACAGGACCCTATAGAGTCCCCACAAAGAAAAAAGCCATCACCAGACGTGCCTCCTTAACTTTGAGCTTCCTAGCCTCCAAAACTATAAGAAATAAATTTCACTGTCTTATAAATTATCCAGTTTCAGGTATTCTGTTAGAAACAACAGAAAATAGGCCCATGGCTCACTTGGGAAAATGTGGTGCTGATAACACCAAGTCCACAGGTTCGGATCCCTATGTAGGGATGGCCGGTTTGCTCAGTTCGGAGAGTGTAGTGCTGACAACACCAAGTCAAGATGTTGATCCCCTTACCGGTCATCTTATTTAAAAAAAAAAAAAAAAAAAGAAACAACAGAAAATGAACTAATACAACAGTTTTATGAGTGTAAAATATTTTGAGCAATGAAAGAATCACTGTTTGGCTTCCCAAGACCAAAGTAACATTTTTGTTCATCATTTGCAACCTGCCTCATGTCTTCCAGCAATAAAAGTAATATAGGTTCACTGTGAAAAGTTTGCAAGAAATAAAGTTTTAAAAAAATTAAAATCACCAATAATTTATTTCCAGACCTTTTCCCTATATTTTTTCCCACCTCACAAAATTGGGATACTATGGATTACACTGTCTTAAATACTTTTTAAACTCAAAATTTATAGTTGATATGTGTTTACTATGAATAAAGCATTGGCAATCGACCCTTCAGCATCTTTCTGCTGAGCTTATTAAAATGCTGACAAATAGGAGATTCTGTAAGATATCCTGTAGCTAAGACTCACCCCACTTCACCCCCCCCAAAAGGAAATAAAATTTTAGGACATTAAAACTGTTCTATATTAAGACAAGAAAAACAATACTAGTAAATATTTATTCATGAATCCCAACAATGAGCTTGACTGGGGGAAATATAATGAGACTAACAGCTTGGTAATACATTTAACCAAGTGGAATTACTCTTACTTTTTGGACATTTTCGTTATAATACACTTAAATAATTGTTTTCAAATACATAATATCCTGCCTATAATAGAACTTACTAAAGAATAATTTTTGGTATGAAATCAGTTTGTCTTAAATTCTTTCTAAAAAGATTATAAAAGTACTAACTTTATGCTAAAAATACTAAGTAACTGTGGAATTACAATACAGTTAACTTATCAATGGCCTTATCAATTTAATGAACGGCACTATATTTATTACTTAGTATTATCAGACCAGCAAATAACCTATAAATCTGTAAAATTAACATTGGATTAAAAGGTATATACTAGTACTATCTCCTACCTCTCCACTTACTGCTACATAGATTACTATACTTAGAAAACACCTGCTACAGCCTCTAATAAAAATCAAACAGATCTTAGAAATAAGAGGTCAAGTATACTGAATTTCTTTTACATTTGCTTCTTTTTTTAACCAAGTTTGTTTTCTTCTTTTAGATCTTGGGCACAAATCATTATTTTCTTGGAAAAAAACAGTATAGTTTTAGAAACAGATTTTTAATGTTTCAGGTGTTATCCTAATTACCTATTATAATCTATTTCCATTAGATTGGGCAAGAACAAAAACTGATTCAAGGCATTAAAATTTATCAATGGACAACCTATAAAGTTATGCTGAGTATCACTGTGGTCAAAAATACTCATAACTCTAGTTAACATTTTGACTCAAATAAGATGATTTTCCAACATTTTTTTTTGAAAAAAGAAATTTTCCTAAGACAGCAAATCAATTCTTTAGGTCTTCTAAATCTTAAGAAACATCAAAAAGACACAGGCAAAATAACTATTAAAAAAAACTCTTTTGGCAACACGTAAGAATGAAACGGCAACCAACTCCCTAATCTTTTTCTTTCTTTAAACATATAATAATTTAAGGAAATTGACCAAGGAAGAGAAAAATAAATTACTAAATCAAATTTTATGTCACTAAAAGTTTTAACAGTTAGAAAAAGCACAAAAGCTTCCACTATTTGACATCTGATTGGGAATCCAGAATGCTATCTATATGAGACAGAGACGAGGGGGAGGGAAGGCTATTTAACAGAATGCTGGGGTGGGGGTGGGGGGACAGCAAACAACTCAACTTTTCATTTAATTATGTACTAGTGTAATATTGTACTTTTTAAAAAAGAAAAAAAAATTAAAAACAGCTACACATTCAACTTTGTTATACTGTGCATGCAGTGTAGGCCCTAAAAGACTGGGGAGACATAGCCAAGTTAAAACATTTTATGTTTAATTAAAAATCTTACAAAAATCGAGTTCTTCATGGGACAATAAGATTCTGTCATTCCCATATTACATTCTCAATGATGATTTTCAAGTTAAACATAGTGCTAATAAGTTGTGCATTCAATAGACTCTTGCTTAGGGAAAACATGAGCAAAAACATTTAAAAACACAAATACACTTAAAAGGAACACTTTGATAGTTACAAAAACACCTGTAATATAAGTAAAAATGTAATAAACAAAAATACATAGGTACCCCAAGTAACACATTCTTAATGAACTGAAGGCACTGCCTACAACTTGCTTGGATGCACAAACTAAAATGCAAAGCAGAAACCGTACTATTGACAAGTCTACATTTTACTTTAAGAATTATCAAAATCTATACTATGACTTTCAAGTAATAGCAAGAATTTCCTTCTCCTTTTAGCAAAATGTGCCTTTTTAAAAACTGGATTAATTAGAAATGACTTATTCAAAACAATATATTAATATCTGGAGAATTTCTGGCACTTGAAATGTAAGATGGGCCAGACTTCCCAAAACATCTACTTTGATAATGCAGCATCACCAAAATATACAAGAACCACAAAAAACGCCCCCAACATAGAGAAACAAAGCAAAGTTGACGCTAAGTCTAGGTCATAATTTTTCTTAGTTCTCACACAGCAATGTTTTTGAATAGTAACCTGAAACGTTAGTGAGTTTTTTAAAACCTGTAAGTCCATTCATAAATTAAACCTTAATCTTCAAAATTCACCATTCAGCTAGAAAATTAATTCTACGCTGTTGATGTTTTAAACACTGAATACTGGGAAAATACTAAGTGAATAAAAAAGCCATTGGTTCCACTACCTTTACCCTTCCTTCCCCCCCAACAACAACAAAAAGCAAAACCTCCTCCCAGCTTGTCTCTCTAAAGAACTGAACAAGTAGTTGAACTACTTTTCATCTATCCTTGCTTTGAACTCTTCACTGCACCTTTCAGATCAAAACGGACACCTGGACAAGACTATTTAAGCTGTGTCTCCAGGAGACTCACAAGTAGCGATTCGCGGCCAGGCCAGGAAGCAGTAAGGCCCCCAGGTTTTCAGACTCTTCTCCAAGCATCTCACACCCATTCAGTTCGAGTGAAGAAGACGGGCCCGGAATGTTGGCCCCGAAAGAGCAAAGCCAGGGCCTAAGACCGCTGCACGGTCCCCCAGGCGGCTAGTGCGGTAGGGAGGAGATAGGAGGCACAGAGAACCGGACGCCTGGGACCGTGGGCATCCGTGTAAACGGAGGAGGCGCTCGGACTCGGAGCGCAATGCCCGGGACCCCCTTCGCTGCCCCCTTTACCCTCCCCTCCCCCATGCTGGGGAAGCACGGCCCGGGCCCGGTGCGGGAAGGGGGAGGAGGTGAACCCGTCCTGTCACTGCACCGGGAGAGCCTGGAAGGGGCACATGCTCTACCGAGAGAGGCCGTGGCCGCCCCAGCCCCGGCTCTGACAGCCACACACCATCTCCAGCCCCAGAGTTCCGTTCCCTGCGCCTCACCAGGTCGTAGTCCTCCTCATCATCGCACATGAAATCATCCTCCATGTCAGACATCTTGGCCGGGAGGGGGGGAAGGGGAGGAGAAATTGGAGACAACCTGCTCCCACAATCCTCCGCGGCTCAGAAACGTCACTCCCAGCTTCTCCTCACCTTTCCGTCGCTTTTAAGAGGAACTGAGTATCCTTCCGGAACCAATGTTCTTGGCATGGAGAGGATTCGCTACGACACCAAAAGGGAGTGCACCGTCTCCTCTTCCTGCGAGACGGTTGGTGCCTTAGCAACTAACCCTAACAACTCGGGAATTGTCGGGTGTTTGTGGATCCCTGTTGGAGGACACTGGAAACCTGGTACTCACGTCGAGCAGGTTCCAGCCTTTTGGGTAAGAGAGCAGTCTCATCCCATGCCTGGGACTCTGGAACCGTATCATTCTGGTGAAAGTAAGGTGCAGCCTAGGACTAGAAGCCTTTCGCGGAGAGAAGACTTGCCCGTCCTATATGACAGGTAGTATGATTTCTGCCATAATTATCTATGTGCATTATCATGAACAGGTTTATTTGCTCAGAGTAAACCGAGCTACATAGTTTTGCTTTTTACTCAAGATAGCAATTCTGAATTGGTTGTCTATAACTATGTGCATGATCGCATGCATAAAACTGCCGCACATTGCGGTGGGTGTTCTTGTGGTATTTGGAGACCTTTTCAACAACACAATTTACACATAATGTTTCTTATATTTGTAGTTGACAAAACGATTCTGTGAATCCCCTAAATTAGGTATGCATCAATACCTATTACAACTTAAGGAGTTGAGGCTCCTTAAGTCTTATTCAGTTGTTCAATGAATTATAACCTGACCATTTACTGCCCTTGGGACCAACTTAAGGTAACAGTTAACGACTGGTTTTAAAAAATGCATTATTTTTGCACAAAATCATTAGGAGAATTCGAAATAAGAAAAAAAATGAAGTTGAAATAAAGGGGGGAAACTGCTTTTCAAACAGGTAGCATTTTCCACATAAACTTTCAGTTCCGTTCACTTGAATCCACAAGTGTTATTACTTATAGCATAGATATATAATTTTGGATATTTTGTGCACCTAATTATGTAGCAGCATAGGTCAATATGTACAATATATTCCTTTTAATGGTTTATTTTAATGGTTGTGTAATAATCCCTCTATCGAATGTACCAGTGCACTGTAATTTATGCCATTATTGTCATACATTCAGATTGTTCCAAAAATAACACTGTTTAAACATTTCTGCTGTGAATATCTTTGACACTTTATTTTTTCTTAGGAAAAAAAGTCCAAGAAGAGGAATTACAGGGTGGATTTTTTTAGTAATCATTTGAATTAACGTCTTTTTGGTCATAATAATTTGTATTTATAACAATAATACTCTCACCTTTAAACACAAATGTTTTCCCTAATAGTCCTTTCTTCTCAATGTTCTATTATGAGAAATTTCAAACATACATAAAATTGAAAGAATAGTACAGTGGACACTTGTATACCCACTATCAGCTTTAAGTGTGTGTTTGTGTATTCCCCGAATTAATTGAAAGGAAGATACAGATATCATGACACATCTCACTTGAATGCAGCTATGTGTATTTACTAAAAATAAGGGCATTCTCCTATGTAATCACAGCATTATTACATATGTGAAAATTAATAATAATTCCTTTGTATCATCTAATATCCAGTCTATATTCAAAATTTTAGAATTGGAAGAGCCTTTAATGATATCACTTTAAAGTCCAAGGCTTCCCAAATCTCACACTAAAGATTCTGATTCGGTAGTTCTGGGGTGGAGCTCAGCAAATCTATACTTGAAACTTTAAAACAAAACAAAACCTCCCTAGAACCGTGGTGACTATATATCCTAGTTTGCCTGGGACAGACCTGGTTTAGTACTGTTGATCCAGCAGAATAATTAACAACACCCGTCATTCTCAGAAGTTTGGACATAAATCACATGGTTATTCTACCTGTAATCCATAATTCTTCAAAAGAGAATATAGAATCCCAAGGTAGGAGGATACTTCAAAAAGTTACTGAAAAAATGGAATTTAAAAAAAAGTACTAATCTTTCCATGAAGTTTTTGAAGACCCCTCATAGTTAACAAGTTTATTTGCTCAGAGTAATCTGAGCTACATAGTTTTGCTTTTTACTGAAGACAGTAATTCCGAAATTGATTATCTATTAACCATGTGCATACTGATCGCATGTATAAAACTCCATGTTGATTTATTGAATTTATTTACATAACTTGCTGCTTTTTTTTTTTTTTTGTCTTTTTTTGTGACCGTTAAGGGGATCGCAACCCTTGGCTTGGTGTCCTCCGCACCGCGCTTTGATTATCTATTAACCATGTGCATACTGATCGCATTTATAAAACTCCATGTTGATTTATTGAATTTTTTTACATAACTTGCTGCTTTTTTTTTTTTTTTGTCTTTTTTTGTGACCGTTAAGGGGATCGCAACCCTTGGCTTGGTGTCCTCCGCACCGCGCTCAGCCAGTGAGCGCACCGGCCATCCCCATATAGGCGGCGAGAGCGCCACTGCGTTCCCGGGTGCGCCACGGCGCCGGCCCTAACTTGCTGCTTTTTAATGTAATGCCTTATTCCTGCAATGGGGAAAGAATTATGCAAGTAAGTCGGTAACTAGAAACACTAGGAAAACGGCGGCTAAATGTTGAGCATAATTAAGCCCAGTCTGGAAGTTTGCTAAGACCGGTTGAAAAGATTTTCACAGTGTTTGGCACACTACTTTGGTACACAGGTGTTAATTAGTGCTTGTTGAATAAATAATCACATTAATGATTTAATCTTTCTGTGCAGGGAATGTCTTTATATCTATATCTACACATCAAAATCTTTTTTAGTCCTTAAAAATATATTTAAATGTTACCTCATTCACATAGCTTATTCTGAATACTTTGTGCAGTTAAGATGCTCTCTTTTGTTTTTCTTGACATCAGTTTTATTCAATGGTAAATAATTGAAAATTTTTATTTTAACAAGGTGTATTGATGCGACATGGTTCCCATGTTGAAAGTGGATCTATGTTTTTTAAAAATATTTTTAAAATCCAGCATTTTTAAGATATAATTTGGAAGCTTTATTGAGGTACATTAAACTGTATATAAAGCATACAATTTGATGAATTTTGACATATGTATACACCTGTGAAACCATCACAACACCAAGATAATGAACTTTTTATTACTGCAGAAGTTTCCTCATAGATTCCTTGATAATCCATCTCCTCCCCACTTCACTTTTCCCAGACAACCACTGATCTACTTTTTTGTTACTACAGATTAGTTTACATTTTCAGGAATTTTATATAAATGGAATCATACAGAATGTACTCTCTTTTGCCTGGCTTATTTTACTCAGTATAATTATTTTGAGATTCATCCATGTTGTTGCATGCATCAATTGGTTTTTTCTTTTTATTATTGAATGTTCCATTGTATGGATATACTATACTTTATCTTATCCATTTACCTGTTGATGAATATTTGAGTTTTTTCCATTTGTGACTAATATAAATAAAGCTTCTAAGAGCATTTGTGTACAAGTTTTTTACCTTAGCACTCCAGTTTTCTTTCTTTTTTGGGCGGAGGGGGTGGGTGGCTGGCTGGTACAGGGATCTGAACCCTATGACCTTTGTGCAAGAAGGCTGTATTCTTAACCCTGTGCACAAGTTTTTGAACAGACATATATTTTATCTTTCTTTTTTAATTAATTAATTAATTTATTTATTTTTCCTTTTTGTCCTTTTTTTTACTGACCGGTAACGGGATCGCAACCCTCAGTGTCGCGCCCATACTGGGGACCGGCAACGGGATTGCAACCCTCGGTGTTGTGCCCGCACCGCACTCAGCCAGTGAGCGGGAACTGGTCTCCACATGGGATCTGAACCCTCGATGGGAGTGCTGCCGTGCTCCCAAGCGGCACACTCTCTGGTGCGCCACCGGGCCAGCCCTATTTTATCTTTCTTGAGTAATGTGGTAGACATACTCTAAGGTGGCCACCCCATCATCCATGTCTTGGCATAATTTTTTGCCCCTTGAGTGTGGGTAGGATCTGCGACTTGTTTCTAACAAATAAGTTAAGCAAAGGTGACATACATGATTATGTGTACAAAATTACATTACACAAGACTCTTAAGTCCATCTTGTCTCTTTTTTTGGCTTTGAGGAAGACAGGTGCCCATGTTGGGGGACCATGTGGCAGCAAGGTGAGGGTGGCATCTGGCCCATAGCCAGTAAAAAAAGATAGCCTTCAGTCTGACAATCCACAAATAACTGAATACTAACAGCCACATGCTCTTAGAAGTAAATCCTTCCCCATTTGGACTCAGATAAGACTTTGTGAGACCTTAAAGCAGAGGACCCATCTAAGCCACACCTTGTCTCCTGAGCCACAGAAATTGTGAGATAATGTGTATTTCTTCATACCACTAAGTTTTTGGTAATATTGTTATGTAGCAATAGTATAAATACAGGTAAATACCTAGTAAACTGGTTGGCTCATATGGTAGGTATATGTTTAACTTTTTAAGAAATCCTCAAATAGTTTTCCTAAGTCTAAGTGGTTTTACCATTTTGCATTTCCACCAGCAATGTGTTAGAGTTCTAGTTGTTCCTTGCCAACATTTAGTGTGGTCAGTCTTTTTAATTTTAGCCCCTCTAGCAGAAGATAGTGGTATCTCATTGTGGTTTTAATTTGCAATTCCTTAATGACTAATGTCAAACATATTTTTGTGTGCTTATTTGTCATTGTAGTAGATTGAATTATGTTCCACCCAAACTCACTAAAGCTTCAGTTGTGTCCCCAAGTTTTACATACTAGAAACTTAGCCCCCACTGTGACTGTTAAGAGGGTGGAAAATCCTGTTATGGTAATTAAAGGTGGAGCCTTGAAGAGATGATTGGATTGTAGGACCGTTCAGTAGTGAATGGATTAAAAATGGTGGTCAGCGGTGTGGTTCTGAGGGCTTTAAAAGAAGAGGAGAGTCTCTCTCTCTCTCTCTCTCTCTCTCTCTCTCTCTCTGCTCTGCCATTTTGCAATGTGATACCCTGCCATCACTGTCACCACCACCAAGACCCTCACTAGATGTGCTGCCATTTTGCAGTGTGATACCCTGCCATCACTGTCACCACCACCAAGACCCTCACTAGATGTGTTCCCTGTACCATGGACTTCTCAGCCTCTGAAACTGTAAGCAATAATTTTCTTTTTCCTTTTAAAGTGCCCAGTTCCTTGTATTTTGTTATAAGCAACAGAAACAGATTAATACAGTCATCTATGTATTTTCTTTGGTAAAATATCTCTTTGAATCTTTCGCCTATTTTTAAATTGGATTGTTTGTATTATTACTATTGAATTGTAAGAGTTATGTATGCTTTTTGTGTTATATTTAAGGAACCTCCGATACACCCAAGGGCACTGAGATTTTCTTTTATATTTTATTCTAGAAGTT